CCCCCCCCCCCCCCCCCCCCGCCACATCAGCCTGGGCCTGCTTCTGCCTCCCCACCCCACACTGCGGGGGTCCCGCTCCTCCCCCCACCCCTGTACCAGGTCCAGGCCCACTTCACCCTGCGGCACCACTGGCTCCAAGGAGCATGATACAAGACTTCAAAAACAAGAAGTTAAAAGGCAATCCCTTGATCATGCAGTTGGGTATTACAATTTAAGAGACAAGCTTTAAGATATTTAATAGAATCACAAAAAGTAGGGTTGCAAGGAACCTCACTCAGGAGGTCATCTAGTCCAAACCCATGCTCCAAGCAGGATCATCCCTGACTAAACCATCTTGGTCTAGCACTCATCTAACCCAGGCCTCTCCCAATTTCTAAGCCCCCAGGGGCCACATACCACATGGGCTTCACCAGTGGAGGCTACATGCAGCACAGGCTGCACCAGATGAGCCACAGGTGATGTCAGCCAGCACTCCTGCAGCCAGACTGATGGCAGAACACCAAGTTAGGGGCCACAACTTAACCTCTTATGGGCCACATATGGCCTACAGGCCCACCAGTTCAACTGCCCTGGTATCATCTACTCTTAAAAGATTTCCAAGGATGCAGATTCCACAGCCTCTTTCTGTACTCCCTTCCAATGCTTAATTAACCCCATCACACCAATAAAAATTTCTCCTAATATCCCCCTAAATTTCCCCTCCTTCAAACTGAAACTATTTCTCCTAGTCCTGTCCCCTGCATATTTAGATATACTTACCTAAAACCTTTATGGTGAAGTTCTGGAGGAAGGGTAGTGGGTAGAAACAGTTCAAAATAGGTGATGGCCTTTTGCATGGTAACATCAAATGGACACATTAAAGGTCTCCACTCATCTAGCATTTCTGCAGTGGCACTCTCTGGAAAATACCTAAAAAAGAAGAAAAGTCTTAAATGATACACACTCAGAAAAATCACTATGTAGTCAGTGTTTTCTTGAGGGGTAGAGGATTGCCATGAAATTAAATTTTACAGTAGGTCATGTATTCACATGCTCCAGTCAATAATTACTTATTACAAAGAACAATATCAGAACCAAACCAGTAATTCACAAAAACAAAAATTAAACTAAAGGATATGACAATTCAAGATCAAAACCATAGATTATTTTTAAAAAGATTGCACCTGTAATCAACTCCCCCTGCTTCATGTTACACCTAAAAGCTCAAAAACCCATAAAGAAGAACCGTCTTGAGGTAAAGACTGTGTGAGACCATGCATCACATTTCCCTGAATCCAAGACTACTTCAAATTTAAGACAACTTCCCAATAATTAGATTTTATAAATTTGTTAAAATTGTACATTAAGGAATCTAATTTGGAGAGTCATCTTTAATTTGTAGGGCCATCTCTAATTTGGAGAGTCCTCCCGCACCACCACCATTACAATGGGGAAACAGAGGCAGAGGAACAACCAACATGAAAGGGACAGGCAGCTTGTACCCTGTCTCTTGTCTCTCCCTTGTTCCTGCCCCTTTTGGCCACTGCTTACCCTATGCAGTAACTCTGACTCAGCCCATGCACATGAAGGCTAGAGCTGGAGCCACAGCAATTCCCATGCATTCTCCCATTCCAGGGGTGGGTTAGAGCTGGAGCAGCCACCTGCTCTGAGCAGTATTCAAACACCAGGTGAGGCTCCCCACCTTCTTCCCCTGTGTTGAATAGAGGGCACATGGAAGAAAAAAAAAATTCTCTTGGATTCAAGTAAATAAGCTAACTCCTAATGGCATTTGAGACCTTAGCTGAAGGAGAGAAAAGGTCCCAGTTCCTTAGAATAAAGCATACTACTTTTCTGGAAGACAGTCACTCCAAAATTCTTTATCTTCTTTAGGGAGCTGTACACACATAAAAAGCTAGTGTGTTGCATCATGAGAATACGGAATTACTTATACAAAAAGTTACTACAGTTGAAATACAACAAATTAAAAAATCATGCTATTAGTTCTTCCAAAATCACCCTTAGGTTGAGACATGGCTTGTAGCCTCTAAATTAGCATCCACTTCTAGGATAGCAGAACTAGGGAGCAAAAATTTCTCTCTCAGGCACGAAGTGAATAATTGAAAAATTAAATTTAGTGATACTGGCTAAAAGGAAATAATAACCATTATGCAGTTGCATTCCTTTAAAACTAATAAAGGTACGTTCATATTGATTTAAAATGATGAAATAAAAAAAAGTCTTTTGTATTACACAGATCACATTAGAAAGATCTCTCTCAGTTAAGATTTGTATTTGAACAGAGATGCTCAACCTCTGACCCACGGGCCAAGTTATGCCCATAAAACTATTGAGTCTGGCCCACAGGGTCAGGAAATTTGGTGGTGGGGGAGTGGTGACTATAATACAGCTAGCCCCCTCCGCCAAATTTCCAAATCCCACACACCTGATCAGAGCCAGACCATGCCCCCTTCTCCCCAGAAGGCCAGGCTACACCCCCTTTTCCCCTAGGTTGGGGCCAAGCTGGGCCACACCACTTCGCGTCCCCCGC